ATGAAATTACATTTAAGAACACCCATTCAAGAAGACACGCGTATGACAAAAACGTGGGGGAACAGGTGATCAGGTCATGCGGCAACCAGTAGGGGTCGCACTACCTTTAAAAAGCTTGGAATACACACAATAGGAAAGATGAGTTTAAAAAAGATGCTCTGATCTATGTTTACAGAGAAACACAGAATCATACGCTCAAAAAAAACCCACTCTCTCAGTGCAAGGCAGCAAAGGAAGGGAGGGGGCTGGGGATCAAACACATGGTACGGGGTAGAATGCAGCAGAGCCGGTGACGTTTAAGGTTAATACTCTGTGCTGGAGCCAATCAAAGACCTCTAGAGTCCAAAATAAGTTGTTATCAACCAAAGTACAAATCACCAGAGTTCAGTTCTCTGTCTCCACCCACAGTGGCCTTCAGACTGATCCACCCACGGATGAAATGGGTAGGGGATGGGGGGTCAAGCCTTTTTCTCACATGTCATCCAGGGGTTTTGATAACTGCCGAACCAAGGACAGCAGCTGCAGGGATCCAAAAGATAAACATAATTGTTTGGGACAAGCAGTCTTGATTTTCTCGCTGCTTTTAAGTCTTTAACTGCATCTCTGTGATGGGGAAAAAATGCCAATGTTCTGAATTTCAATTACCTCCTCGACTCTCTTTCCGTCTGAAACTTCACCCAGGTGTAATCCTAAATCTCATGGGCACGCTGCTGAACTGTGATTCTTGTCAGAATCACATCCTGTTTGCGACTTATATCCCCCAACATCACAGTCTGTGCATTTCCAAAATGTGAGACTCCATCCAAGGTCCCTGACAGCTTTTCACAGGCCCGAACTGCTGTCAGGATCGCTTTCATTTTCCGATAAGCCAGGACTCCTCCACAGCCGATCAGCAGGAATCCAGTTATCATAAATCCAAATATGTACAAATCTTTCACGTCTTCAATGGAAAGCGGCGCCAAACAGATCAGGTTCGGAGCCAGACACTCGCCCGGCTGCCACCATTCCACTCGGACAGCTGCGCTCCCCTCACTCCAATCTCAGTGTGGAAAACATAGTGTTGACTGCGTTCAGAGACCAGTTGACCAAATCCATAATTCCTTTTGTTTTCGGATGTTTTCGGATGATAGGTAGAAGAAAGGCTTGAAAAAGTTGCAAAGCGGGGGAGGGAGGGACAGGTTCGGGAGAGAGAGCAAAAAGTGTCCAACTCCTCTGAAGGCCAAACAGGAATAAAATAAAATAAAATAAAAAATGGATGATGAAGATGGAGATTYAGTTGTTTAACCTCTGGAGAGAGATGTCCTTTTCCAGGTCAAAGAGTGAAAAAGGGATAAAGAATATAAATTCAATCTATAATAATAATAGGGAAAAAATGGAGAATGAAGTTTATGAAGTTGACTCTTGGAAAAAAAACAGCCCACACTGGAAGATTTAGTTTAGTGTGCAGAGCAACAGGCGATACGCTGCAGGGCAGAGGATACAAAAGAAGGCTCTTCCCTTGTCCAGACTTACTTTCACCTTTTGGGACTCCTTCTTGCTGAGATCCATTGCTCTCTTGAGTTGATTCTGTTCATCAACATCCACCGTGGGAGGCAGCTAAGAGTCAAGCAGGAAGGATTAGGAGGAAGAATAATCAAAGGCTCAAGTTTAAAGCAGGCTGAATTTTTCTTTGCAGTAAATCATTATAGAATCAATTACACAGCAAAATGATTTAAAGCAGAGGACTAGCACAGAGATTCTTATTATGCACTCACACTATTGTTTTCTTCTTTATAGTTTCTTTCATACATTTTTTAACCATTCAGGTATCAAAATGTTCAGCTCATTCAGGAGATAAATGCTAAGACCTTTGGGATTTGTAACTTAGTTAATACCTTTTAAATATCATATATTGAATCAGGATTTAGATTTTAGCTTTTACTTTTTGTTGTTTTGGGGGTTAACAATAGCTTTTAGTTCCAGTTTTGTGGGTCTTAGCTTTTGGCTACTGTTATGCTAAAGTTTGCATTTAGTTACATCATTGCCAATTTGAGCTAACAATAACTATTTTATTGGCATTAGCTTTACTTTTTAACTTCAGTTTTCCTATTTTGCTCATTTTGATTTCACCTACAGTTTTGCTAATTTTAACTTCTGCTCAATTTGTTTTAACTCGAACAATTCAATTTTAACCTTTTCAAAAGATTTTTTTATCAAAGCTATTCAGTACTCCGCTTTGGAAGAAAAATGTTTTTTTTTCCTGTTAAAATTGAGTTCAACTTGTTTGATCAGAGAAGTGGGGGCCATTTTGGATTTGTGTATTCCTGCAGCAGCACAGCTGAAGCCTCAAACACTGCCCCTGCCATAAAGACCGGGACAGAGTCTGGATCGATGCACATATCCTGTTTGCCTTCTCACTCTTTCGCTCTCAGCTTACTCATTCTTCAGCATCACTCACACTGATTGGTCAAAGTGGGGGCGTTACTGATAACATAAACGCACATCACTTTCATCTCTGGGCAACAGGGGCACAGAAGACAGGCAGGAACACTGAGTCTGAACCTGTGGGTGGAAGTTGTTTATTAATGTTTGACTACAGCAGAACACGTAAGCAGCAGCAGCAGCACAGCTAAGGAACCTTTCTGTCAGGCACATCGTGCGCTGGAGGGGTGAGAGTCTGTGTTCAGGGGAAGAGCGATCGTGTGTTATGTTACTTAGAGGTACCTTTTCACTTTCTTCTCGGCTCATAGCCAGGGCCAGCTGCAGCTGCAGCTCCTCTTCTCCACTGGTGGATGGTATAGCTTGTTCCAAGTCCGGAGCGAGTCGAGAAGAGGGGGCTACAGGGACAGAAAAGAGCACAGGGATGCGAGTTTAGGGGAAGAATCGGGAGCAAATGGGGTGGAGAAAGAAAGAAAGAAAGAAAGAATAGAAAGAAACATTTTATGCTGATTTCTTTTTAAGGCCAGGAAAGAGCTGGCACTTTTTCTGCATGTTAATGCTCTATTGCCCGTTGTTTTGGTCCTTTGCTGGCATGGSTTGCCACAGCCTGCCTGCGCTGAGAACAATGGAGCGGCTGTGTGGATGGTTAGGCTGCTGATGGGGTGGTGGTGGYTGGGGGGTGGTGGTGGATGCATTTGGAGCAAGGTCCACCTTATTTTGCTTCCAATTTTCCGGGAAAAGGACTCGTGTCCAAATCTTTGGAAAACTAACGAAGAAAGGTGGAAATATATTAATCTGGGAGCAGGGCTGTGGGTTACTGGGCTAAAAGAGGAAAGTAGGTCATTGTTGGCAAACTCAGAGATCACAAAACCAATCACTTCCACTGCGCTGCCTCTCAATATCCTCTGAGTGAGTTGGACTAGTCGCTGGAAATTAGCTGCTGCCAACCTCCTAACCCTCACACCATCCGTCAGCATTTTGTTCAAACTGTCTCCATGCGCCAGTGTCTTTGAATGCCAAAGAGACCACCATTATTTCCCCTTTTAGCTTAAAAGTCACACAGAACAGAACAGGAAATGGTGTTGTTGATGAAGGCATGCTCACAAACAAAGACAACAATTTAAACACTTGTACCACACCTATATAATGTTCTTTTTGAATTGAGAGTTTTTAAAAACATTTCCATTTGAAAAAAAAGGCTTTCTAGAATTGAATAAATGTGATACAATGATAAGGAAGCAAGTAAGAAGGAAAGAAGTACTGTCGAGCATTCTATTCTACTTCGAAATCTGACAGACATAAGGATATCTGGGTTTGCGCTAGACTGGTTCAAACTGAACCTCTCAGTCTCAGACTGCTCTTTCTCAGTCTTATTAGACCAATCATTTCTCTGACTCAGCCAAACTCACCTGCGGAGTTCCACAGGGTTCCATTCTGGGCCCAATTTTATTCCTGCCGTACATCCGCCCCCTGACTCGGGTCATCAAAAAATTCCCTGACATCTCCTACCACTTCTATGCAGATGACCTGCAGCTATACTGCTCCTTTAATGACTCCACCTCCCACAAGCTAACTTCTCTCATAAATTGTGTCACTAAAGTTCACCAGTGGCTGTCTGACAACTTGCTGCTCCTAAACTTTAGAAAGACAGAGACCCTGATCCTGGCCCCTGAAAATAAAATCCCTAAGATAAAAGAACATCTCGGCTCCTTGAGTTTAACTGTCCAGCAGAATGTGCGCAACCTGGGAATAAATTTTGACTCATATTTGTCACTAGATAAACACATAAAGAATCTGGTTTCCACATGCTACTTTCAACTTTGTAATATCTCTAAACTTCGGCCCCTACTGTCCACTTCAGACTTGGAAATGGTAATTCACGCCTTCATTTCTAACCGCACAGCTTGTTCAGCTGCCTAAACCAGAAACAGCTAAATCGCCTTCAGCTTGTCCAAAACTCAGCAGCAAGACCCTTAACTCAAACCTCCAAATTCACGCATATCTCCCCAATCCTAGCGGAACTTCACTGGTTTCCTGTTCAATTTAGAATCAAGTTCAAAATTCTGGTTCTTACTTTCAGAGCTCTCCATGGCCAAGCACCCAACTATATTAAAAGTCTCATTTTCCCGTACAACCCCAGACGGTACTTCCGCTCACAGGCTCAGAATCTCCTAATGGTTCCCCGTACTCGCTTTAAAGGGATCCCTGATTAGTTGTAACATTAGACTTTATTTGATAAACTTTTATTTTAACTGTAAAATAAAGACTATAAAAATACTGTAGGCTGTTTAGTTTTGTAAATTTTTAAAAATATATTTAACACGGACTGAGCCATTTTATTTACACACAAAGCATTCTGGGTAAATGACGACGTGGATAGGTCCTCGGTGTGAGCGAGCTATATCCACCCTGAAGGTTAATCTTGGACAATATCTGACGATCGACTCTTTTAAATGAAACCAGAAAGTGTTGACAGAGAGGAGAAGGTAGAAATGACTCAGCCTGTAACTGAAAATATGGATGGAGGACAACAGAGCTGCTTCATGGAAGAAGAACCTCAGCTTAGCCTGTTAGCTTTAGCACCAATGTTATCACTATATATATGTATTAGCTCAGCGCTACACATTCTCTCGTCACTGAGGTCATCCATCTACATGATAGAGAGGGGAACGCAAAAATGACTCAGCCTGTAACTGAAAATATGGATGGAGGACCAGTTTAGCTTGTTTGTCACACTAGCACCAAGCTAATACATATAAGGCAATAAATCGTTGGCGCCAGCCCAAAGGCTAACAGGCTAAGCTGAGGTTCTTCTTCCATGAAGCAGCTCTGTTGTCCTCCATCTATATTTTCAGTTACAGGCTGAGTCATTTCTACCTTCTCCTCTCTGTCAACGCTCTCTGGTTTCATTTAAAAGAGACAATCGTCAGATATTGTCCAAGATTAACCTTCAGGGTGGATATAGCTCGCTGGACCTATCCACGTCATCATTTACCCAGAATGCTTTGTGTGTAAATAAAATGACTCCGTCCGTGTTAAAATATATTTTTAAACATTTACAAAACCTAGCCTACAGTATTTTTACAGTCTTTATTTTACAGTTAAAATAAACGTTTTTTTCAAATAAAGTCTAATGTTACAACTAATCAGGGATCCCTTTAAGACTCGCGGTGACCTTGCCTTCTCCTCTGTGGCCCTGAGGTTCTGGAATGAACTCCCTGTTAATCTACGCTCCCTTGATAACATTGTCTCTTTTAAGAAACTCCTAAAAACCTGCTTTTTTACTCAAGCTTTTAGCTAACCTTTCACCAATAATTGCAGCCTAACCCTTTAGTGACTGCTCGCCAACCATGTGTTTTTGTATTATTGAATATACAGCATAAATACCCCCCCCCCCCCCATTATTTTTAAAATTCCGGGTCCATTTTTTCTTATTCTGATTTGTACAGTCTTGCATACATAACACTCATCTCTTGTCATGCTCTGCCTCCGTGTTCCATAGTTAGAATTTATTCTTCTTGTTTTGATGTTCTATTATGTTGTTTATGTTTTATTATGTCTATACATTGTTGATGATTGTACAGCACCTTGTGAATATATTTCTGTGAAAGGCGCTTTACAAATAAAACTTTACTTACTATTATTAGATGATTTGACTAATCAGTGGTGATGAAACATTTAGACAAGTTCCTTTAAAAATCAAATCTAAGAAATCAAAGAGAAAAAAAGTAAAAAGTGTTTTTAATCAGACTGTTAACCCTTGAAAAGCTTGAAGATCAAATGGTGCTTTCAGTTGGACAGTACCAAACTGTACTGGAGTAAACACTGAACCAGGATTGCTAGCTGAGAAGATCCAATGAGTTATCACAAAATTTTTAAAAAGTCTCCAGTTGTGGCTTCCTGTCCGAGTGACAGACACGAGCCGGGCCTCTTTTTTTTGTAACTCCAGTTTAGCTGACGTGACTGTAAGGGAGAATGAAAGGAATGCAAATGTCCAACAGACTAAAACATTCTGCCACAACGCAAGTAGTCAGGTTTAAATGTTGGATTATGTGTCTGGTATAAGGATCTGTAGCATGTCTGTGAGAAATAAGCAGTCTAATAATTCCAGTGCTCCTAATGTACCGAGAACAGAAATGCTAACGGATACATTTCTGATTAATTGCCCAAATTTGTCTTGTCGGACATTAAATTGAAAATCTCACCCCCTCTGCTTTTACTTTAATACTTTCATTATTCCCTGTAGTTTTATAAAAGAGGTAATCAGATAAAGGTGAAACTTTTCGCATGTGCATTCTTGAACGATGACATGTTCCAGGAAACACTCAGGTATCACTCAGATCAATGTTAAAAAAAAGCACTAAGTGTCACAACATTTGGAGAGGATGATGGTTGTGTTTTGTAACCTGTACCACGGTTCCGTGCTACTCACTGTTGTAGGTTGACGGTGGGCTTCTGCATCTGCTGAAATCCTCTACGACTTGGCGACTTGTGTATGAAGCGCTCACATATCCAGAGCTCGAGCTGCTGCTGCTGCTGCCGCTGCTGCTGCTGACGACCCCTGCCAAACGAGACTTGGTCTTCAGAGCATTGCTCCTCTCCCTCTTCAGCTTCTCCTCGTCCTTCAGCAGAGCCACCAACTGTTTGGCCTTCTCTCGGACACTGACACCTTGGTCACGTCCGTCTCGATCCAAGTACTGGAAGTCTTTGAGCGTCTGGATGGCGAATATGTTTTCTCGCGCCGCTTTGGCCACACGCTCAGAGCCCGATTTCACCAGGTAGTCCAGCAGCGTGAGGGCCTTGTAAACYTGGCGCCAGTTTTTGCCGTGATCGTTCAGCCTCTTCCAGATAATCCCCATCACCTCYGCGAAGGTCACCACGTTGTAGGTCAAGTCCGCAATCTCGGCCATGAGCGTGCTGGAGGGTCCCCAGTGGTCGTTGGAGGTGGCCTCTCGAACCTTCACCTCGGCCTCGGTGAAGTTGTTCACCATGTTTTTCACCTGGCGGCGGATCGACGAGCTCTGCATGACGGGCGATGGGGGGGTTTCACGCGTAGCAAAAAGAAAATCAGGCCAGGTCTTCACCCTGGGCGAGGTCGTTCAGTTCAGCTCAGCAGGCAAAATAATAATAATAATAATAATAAAATGTAGTTAGGTACGCAGGCAGCTTCAACGATGTCCAGTGTGGTCCTCCTGGGAAAAACATGCATAATTTCAGTTTCACATCAAACAATAACAGTCAGAACGATACCACAAACACTTCATGTGATTCAATAACCACATGAATCTCAGCACCTGAAGCGAAGCGGCACAAAACAAATGGGCTTGGCTTTCCTGACATGACAAGTTCGGAATCAGCAGTTTCCAGGAATTTAATCTTGCTTAAACACAAATATTAGTTACAAATTCAACTACAGAATCTGCTGCTGTAAAAAAAAGTCTGCTTTACCTCTGAATGGTATCAGAGATTAGACTCCTCCTCTGTGTTGTTCTGAACTGATTGCATAATCGCATCAAAGGTTTAATTACACACAAATAACCATCATGAGAAAATCTTTAATTTCTTGTTTATCGAGTTCACTAAATGAAAGTGTCGCCATATTGCCTTGAATATTTGACTAACATAGAAGCAGCAAGTTGTCGAAGATGACAGCCTGATATCGTTGCTGCTTTGGGTTTGTAAGATGACTGTGAACTGATTTTTGAGTGCTTATATAAGTCAAGATGTTTGTAGCTTTTGGTTAAAATTCAAGGCCCAGTTCACCATTTACAAACTGTAGTGGACTTTAAATGGAAAACCTGAATGTGGTTTTAAATGGACCTTATCATCTGCTTACTTCCTGTTTAGTGAAGCAGGATGAGGTAGCTGATAATAAATGAGAAAGTGGATTAAAGTGAAAGATCCCAGATTTTGAGTTGCAGATGTTGAACCTAATCTGGATGCCACACGAGAGAGGTGCTGATGGGGACTTTTCAAAACAAACCAGAGAGTGTGAGAAACTCATCTTTGGACCCTTCATTGCCCTTCAAACCAGTCTAACCAAAAACACTGAACATACTATTCATATTTAAATCAACCTTAAAAAATGTCCCCAAATGAGTCCGACCTGTCAGGCAGGTGAGTTTATAAACACATATAAAAAAATAAATACATATACTCAACCGTAGCTATAATAAATAAACTTATCTCCACTGACATGTCCTCTCTGTCCCAAACCAGGACCGGTGCCATGTTTGCGTCAAGACTGAACCGACCCGCCTGGTTTGTGACGGTGACTCAGCTTAGCGTTTTAAAAGTTCAAAACCTTTAAATAAAACTAAACGAGGAGACGGGCCGACTCGAAAAAATAATAAAAGACTCGATTAATCGCGTCGATTACCCTCCTCTCTCTTACCTTCAGGTCATTGCGCGTCAGTAGGTCCCAAAGTTGGGCCGGATTGAGGTGAAATGAGAAAACGTCCCCGCCCATCTCTCTCTCTCTCTCTCTCTCTCTCTCTCTCTCTCTCTCTCTCTCTCTCTCTCTCTCTCTCAACATCCACCAAAACAAAACCAAACTCCAAGGTTATGATTTGTTTTTGTTTTTAAAGTTCTGCGTTTTGACGCAAAATCCAAGCGACGAGTCCTGCAGATGATGGCACCACTGAAAGCAGTGAAAAAGTAAAAAAATAAAAATGGATGGAGAGGAGGAGGAAGAGGAGGAGGAATGCTCGGTGCTTGCAGAGTCAGACTTAACCCTTTCGCTTCCTGATAAAATAATAATACAAATAATAATAATAAAAAACACCTCCTGGGCTGAGAAACCTGAAACAACTTGAAAAGCCTGGCGCACCATGAAGGAGTGTATAGCAGCTTTTATAACCGAGTTGAAACCAAGATGAAATGATGCTGAGAAATAAATGAGTTGTTTCATTCTCGTGTCAGTGCTTGGACTATGTGTTGAGGATGACTCTCAGCTACTGCCACACCAGATTTTAGCTCAGTATCTACAAAACTGATCAAGTTAAAGCCATTTTTTGTGTTGCGTYAGGTCGATTATCTCCATCAGCCATTCTGATTTGGGTTGACTCCAAAAGTTAATGCGTTGTAAATGTGCATCCATTTATGACTTTCTGAGAGTTTCATTAAAATCTGTTCAGTGGGTTGTGAGATATTTTGCTAACAGACTGAGTTGACTAATTGTTAACGGGCAAGTTTAAAAAGCATGTTAATACTCAGACTGTGTTGAAGTATAAAACTCAAAGTAACACAAGGTTTGAATAAAAACGAATCTTTGATTTGCCACAAAAAGTACCTAAATATTACATGTTATCCTCAGCTTCATGATTTCTTCTATTTACTTATTTATTGTTACTAATGGGATCAGGACCGTCTGCATTTTTTATATTCATGCATATTTTCATTTATATTCATATTCATGTCTTTTTGGTACCCATGTGCACCGGTTTGGCTTCAGCTAGATAAAAAAGGGATCTTAGTTTGTCTAGAAGGAAGAAGAGAAGGATCAAATTGTGTGAAACAACAACAAAACAAAGAAAAGAATACCTAAGTGAGGGAGAAGCAGCGGGAGAGATTAGTGGCTGACTGAGCAGGATATACAGGAAATACCAGCTCCGCCTTGAAACAACAAAGACACTTTGGGGGACAAAGGGCAAGAGTTTGCAAAAATTAAGCACAAAAAAAAGATAAATGACTCTCAGGAACTCAAATGAACATGTGTAAACCAAAAACAGGCCTAAACAAGTCTGACTTTCAGCTCCTTTTTTTTTTTTTCCAGTCGTATTTCCCTGCTGATTTTCACTGATCAGGAGCTTCACTTCCTCCTGCCCTCCTCCTTCTCTGCCTTGGCACCTTGTGGCTTTTGTTTCTTTTAAAAACCGATGCCTGAACATTCTTCTTTGTTTCCCAACAAAGGCGTGATGAGATCAGCACAGGGAGGACGTGGAGGCCACGTTTGGGGGGGAGGAGAGATGATGTCACACAGGTCAGGAGAGGAAATCTGACTGTGTGTGTGTTTATTTATATATCTAACCTGTGTTGTTGAGTCATGAAGCTTTTGGCACACTTTCCTTTTTTATAGCAAGTCCGGATCGTGTAGATTTTTAACGTAAAGGTTTAGTTCAAATTTTGAGTTGGAAACAACTGTGTTTTTAATGTCCAGATATTATTTTCCTAATTAAGTTACTAGACTGAAGGAGAGAAAAAAAAAACAACTGTAGGCCTGGTTTGTAAAGGGTTAACAGAATAACTTTTAATGTTTTCTGTGTTTTGCTGTCCTCTAGTGGGAGTAAGAGGAGATACTTCCACAGGAGTACAAAGTACAGAAGAAAGAACTCAAAAATATTCAGTTTTTAAAATATTAAAATATATTCTTATCTCAGTGGCTGATTTGTTTGAATTAAAAAGGTTTGTTTGTTTCTTTCTATCATAGCGATTTTCAAATCGACTGGTTTAATCACCAGAGGTTCACCAGATAAGTCACCATTCTGCCAACGTCTAACTGGTAAAAATACATCTAGTGTTTCCGCAGTACAAAAAGAACACTGCAAGGGRCTAAAACAGAGGAACCCAAACTGGGGCCCCCGGGCCAAATTTGGCCAGCCAAGCTATGTGATTTGGTCCACCAGCAGTCGACATATTTAGGCAGTAATCTGTCATCCTGTGTAGAAACAGTATTTCCACTTAATTTCATCCATTGGCCCAATGACTATAAGGGGCTGTAGTACAGGTAGATTTCACTCATGGTTCTAATTTTATCTTTGATATATTAAGATTAAACATGAAACATGAAATACAAATAACAACAAGTGATATTTAGATTAGATTTAACCCCACATGTAGATTTACGCACTTTATAAGGTCAGAAAAATTCTTATTTTATCAATTTATGAAATTTCCCATGAGCATTTGCTACTTGAGCATATGGCAGATTTTATCCAAGTGCACATAACAAAAGCGGGTCACCATACTGGCTGCTAGCTTAATCTTTTCAAAATAAAGGACTTTACTAAAACAGTAGTTGCATTTCATGTATTATATCACTGCATTTGGCCCGCAGCCCCGGATCAGATTTTCATTTTGGCCCTCTTGGGGAAAATGTTTGGGCTCCCCTGATCTGGAGTACAGTGAAAACAAAGTATTTATTTGTTTAAAGAGATTTTAATAAAGGGCATGAAAGGTGCAGCGGAACTACAAAAAGTATAAGATATGTAAAGGGAAAATATTTAAATAATAATATTAATGGAATCAATACATTCAGCACATTTTGATATATTATTTAAATTAAAAAAAATACAGTCCCCTCCAAAAGTGGAACAGCAAGTCAAATTCCATTATTTTTGTTTTTCACTGGAAACATTTGAGTTTAAGAGCAAAAGATGAACAAGAGTTCAGCTTTTATTTCCTGCTATTACATGTAGATATGTTTAACAACTTAGGATACATCACGATTTGTATTACACAACAGCATTTCTAGGTGAGCAAAAGTAATGGAACAAATAATCTTAAAGTAAATAATATTTAATATTTGGTGGCATAACCCTTGGTTGCAATGACTGCCTCCATCCTGCGACCCATCATCATCATCATCATCATCATCATCATCATCATCATCATCATCACTAAACTGCTGCAGTCTTCATTAGTGATGCTGTTCCAGGCTTTTACTGCAGCTTTTTTCAGTTCTTGTTTGTTTCGGGGGATTCTTCCCTTCAGTCTCCTCTTCAGGAGGTGAAATTCATTCTCTGTGGGTGAAGGTCAGATGATTGACTTGGCCAATCTAAAATCTTCCACTTTTTTTTTTTTTTTACCCCTGATGAAGTATTTTGTTTTGTTGGCAGTGTGCTTTGGGTCATTGTCCTGATGCATGATAATATTACTCCAGATTAGTTTGGATGCATTTCTCCATAAGTTTTCAACACATTTCAGAATTCATTCTGCTGCTACCATCATCAATCACATCCTCAAGAAATATTAACGAGCCTGCTCCAGCATGCACGCCCAAACCATGACATCACCTGCACCGTGCTTCACAAAAGAGCTTTTGTGCTTCAGACAAGGAGTTTATACAGAACAGCTGAAGTGTGCAGAAACCACATGACCGTGTGATCGGCTAACGCAAAACGGTCAAAGAGTCTGGATTTCCCATTAGTGTACATGTTGGTGACAGAAGAGAAAAAAGGACTGATGATGAATAAATCATAAAAACTATTAATAATAATATTAGCCCYATTATTATTAATATTTTACAGTTTATATAATCTATCTAA